CACAAAACTGATAAGCATCTACATAAGGCAGAGAGAATTACTGGAGAATCTGCCTTTCTTGCAGGGCTAAAACAGGAAAAATTAATAGTACAAAGAGCAAAATTAAGCACATGGTGACTCAAGGCAAGATTTTGCCTTGTATGCCTGGAGCTCAGGAGTGACAATTACCTCAGAAGAGCAGATGGGTGCCTGGGCATGTGAAACTCATCGCTGGCTATATGGAAACCACATACTGGATGTGATCATGGGAAAGGAAAATGGTCTTTTAGGATGGACCAGGCAAAGACTTTTCCATAGAACTGGGCAAGTTGCAGCTTCACTATATAAGGACTAGTTAAAATGTCCTCAGCAGCAGGGGTAGAGTCCTTGTCAATTCTGTTCAGGAAGGAGGAACTCAATGAAGCAAGAAAGAGTCAGTCTCCTCAGACCAAGTTCTGTGTTTCAGTGACCACAGAAGGGGTGGTGGGATGGAGCTGGTCAGTATCAACCCAGCTTCCCACACCTCTGTTTGTAGGCACCTCTCAAAATCCAGTAGAACAAACCTAGGACCTGACCATGCTTATTGACTCCAGCAACCTTTTGAAGAATGTACTAGAGCTATTTTGTGGAGTATAAATAAGAACAAATTTCTTGCTTATTTGCCCACTAGACACTGCTAACTGAAGCTGCCTCAGGACAACCAGATATATTTCTGCTGTACATAAAGCAAGCATGAAATTTATTGCTGGTATCAGATGGGGCAGAAACAAGCAGTCCTACCCATGTGGTTTGTGCAGTCCTGCCTGAGAACAAGACATTATTGATTATTTTACAAGGCAAGTTACATTTGAAGAAGTAAAGATTAGATTAAAAAATTAAAAGCCTTGGGGAGGGTGAACAGCAGCACAAATCTGTTTGATGTTTGTGTCAACAAGGTTGTCAAAGTAAACAGCCTGAACATCTGTCCATAGCATAGAAGGGAAAATACTGTAAATAGGAAAATATTTTAATTGTGAGCAGTGGTTCAGAGAGCTCCCCATGTCTTTATTTATTAGGATGATAATATCACCCCAACACATGAACTTTATGCAGCACATATAAATAATTCATGGATTAGCAAATAAAGAGATCTGGAATCTGTACACAGAGATGGCTGTTGCCAATTATCTCACTTGTGCAGAGCCAGACCTCTCAGCTCCCATCGCTTGCAGCTGCTCTTTTAAATCATTCATCAGTGCTTAAAAGATATGCTGGTGGCACTGGCAGAGAGTATTTGAATTTTCATTGTTTACACACTGTGAATTTAGCTTCTGGTCTGAAATTATCTGCCACATTGAAGCCTTTGAGAATATGGATAAGGAGAATAAGACAATTCCTCTTTATTTCCTTTTGTAACACTTCTATAACTCTGATTACCTTTTTTGCAATTTTACTTCATGTTCTTTATATGAGCACTACTTTCATTTCCAAGTTGGAGCTGATAATTCCCTATGCTGTTTAGATCATTAAAACATCAGGAATGATTCGGAAAATTATCTTAAAATATTGCAGAACCAATGTCTGTTAAATATTTCATTCAAAGTTGTATGATTTTCCATTCTTAGTCTTGGAAACCTGTGCCTTACTACCTCAATATCTAGAGTTTCTTCTTTCTGACAGTGTTTAAGCAGAACCTTCTCAGAAATACTGAAAACTGCTTAAAAATTGATGACAAGCCACGACCAATGTTGCTGCTTGTCAAATTACTAGACATTGAGTTTCTGTGCACTTTCAGATCACAGTAGGTAGTAATTTCTTGATGATAAATCTGCCATGTCATTACAGAGAAATGACTTCATTTACTTCTAGTATTGGATAATGACAGTAACATTTTTAAAGTCAAAGGCCTTATGATAAAGTCAGATTTTTAGCTGTATTAATTGAAAATCTCATTCCAGTAACTGGAGATTTGTGCAGCATTATTAACTGTGCATCTATCCAGGAATATATAGAGTATGTCCATGCACAGAAGTTCTCCTGCCAATAGTTTTAGTCCTTCCTCTTATGCTACAAATAAAGCAGCACCATTAAAGCTGCTATCAGGTTACTGGAGTTGGCTGGTGCAGTGCGGGAGCCCAGGAGAGGGGAGTGGAGCTTACAAGCCAGGTGAAGCAGTTCCAGCTGTTAGTGCTCCAGCACACCCCATCCCATTCCTGCCAGGGGGCTGCAGAGAGGGATAACGGGCTTACAGAGCCCATACCATGGCACCCAGCATCCTAAATAAGCCCACCCCTCAGAGTGTATCATCACAGCTCTGCTTGTATCTACCCCTCTGCAGCTGGGGCAGGAGGAAGAAATGCAACAGCATCATCATCCTCTTGTTATGCAGGAAAGTCTCCTGTCCCTCATTCTGGGGACAGTCACCCAGCTTATGGGTATGTGCTGGGCTTCCCTTACCTTTTCACATGGGAGGCAAACCAGCTTGGAATCTGCTTTAGTTTCTGAAAGTGGAGTACTTTGTGTTTTATTCTGCAAGAAGCACGAGCAAATGTTTAAAAGCAGCCTGCACCTGATGCTCATGTGTGCTCAGGACCTCTCTAAGGAAGAGACAGAGCATTTGAAAAGTTACCAAGGGGGGCAGGAAGACATGGGTGTTCATCACCACTGATTAAAGAACAGAAGCTGCAGAGTGTACCAGGGCTCAGGAGTCCAAATCAAAGCCTGTTTGGAAGGGCTCTGGAGAGAGAAGGCAGGGAGCACAGGATGTCCTCACTCTGCTTCTGGCAGCTCCCAGCAGTTCATTGAACAAATTAGGTTTCACTCTCGGATCTGCACATGACAGTGGATGGCATTTACCATATGGCATGTGTGATGGGACTGTCACACCATTATAGGCTGAAAAATAAATGATGGGAGGCACCTAATGAATATACACTTCCTGATATCAAGAATTTTGTTCTCTCCCTGTTAAGCATTAGGCACTCGACTTGTGAGTGTTGAAAAGCTTCTGATGTGTGTGTGGTAGGAGACATAGTCTAGCATGTAACTAAGCTTTAAAATCTGAAATGAGCAATTTACCTAATTCCTAAAAAAGGTGATTTTTCTTCTTAATGACTTTGAGCCTGCACACATGTGAAACACATTATGTAACTGGAGTGTCCTCACTCAGAATATTTAGCATGGAGAGTCATCTTTCACACAAACCTGATGATTCTGCTCTGTAGATACCTGTCTTTGCCATTTTTTTCTCATTTGTTGAAAAAAAACCACAACAAAACACAAAAAAACCAACAACCTGGGAAGTTGAAAAGTCTACTTTTTCAAGATACTGTAGTATATTTTTTAAACATCTTTATTTGGTACTAACTGAATCTCTTTATTTGACACCTGACTTAAAATATTGATTTAGGGAGATGACAGTAAGGTAGTGAGACACTAAGGAAACATAGTATATAATATGCGGAATGTTCTAAACTACATACTGGATTTTTCTGTATTTATTAGTTTCTTACAGTTTTTCCAGTGATTACTTTATCATGTCTGTGCTGAATTTATTAAGTTTGCTACTTTTCCAGCAGACTGGCTTCTGGTACTGCAGGGAAAAAGCAGGGCAGATTGTAAATAAATATGGTCAACATATCAATGTATATTGCTAGTAGAAAGGTAAATTCCTCTAAATCCTGGTGAGCTAAACATGGCTTTCCTCTGTGCATTATAATCACTTACCTGCATTCTAAGAAAGTGATGCAAACAAAGGAATTGGGTTGTTAGTGAAGGAAATTCTCAGTTACTAGGAGACAGAAGTCAGAGCACTGTATCAGTCAACTTAATTATAAATGAAACCTTTCCTGCCTTTTCTCTCTATAGGCATATGGGGGTTTAGATATTCGGTGTAGCCCAACAGCAGGTTTCCCCAGCAGTCTGTCATCAGGCCGTTGGAGCCCAAGAAAGGAGGAAACATGGTTTCTAACAACCTTTCCTTCATGGGTCTTCATGGGACAGTTCCAAATTTTGCCATCCTCACCAGCTGCACACCCTCCTTGCTTACTGAGTTTGATCTGGAAATTCAGCATATAAAAGAGGAGTCCTGCCTTGAAGACTGGTGAGGCAGCATCTCAAATACTGTGTTCAGTCTGGGGGCTCTTCACTGCAAGAAGGACATTGAAGACCTGAAACATGTCCAAAGAAGGGCAATGAAGCTGGTGAAGGGTCTGGTGAATAAGCCTTATGAGGAGTGGCTGAGAGAACTGGAAATGGTTAACCTGGAGGAGGCTGAGAGGAGAGCTCCTCACTCTCTACAACTACTTGAAACAGGTTGTAGCAAGGTGGGGGTCAGTCTCTTCTCCCAGGTAACAAGTGATAGGACAAGAGGAAATGGCCTCAAGTTGTGCCAGGGGAGGTTTAGACTGGACTAAAAGACTGCAGCATCCTAAAGGCTGTAGCATCCTATGAATTCTGTGGCTCATTCTTGTGCATTGCACAATAATGACAGCTCTCTTTGTGTAATACTGATTCATTTCAAATGCTGCAATTTAAGACTACATATGTGGTCTTCCTTAGTGTAAGAGCCAAACAGGTGTTTAATTAATTTTTATTAAAAAACAAAACCAAAAAATCCAACTGAACAAAAACCAAACAAAGCAAAACAAAAACAAAACCTACATGTTTGCAAACCAGCAACAGTTACCCAGGGCAGACGAAATGTAAATGCTTTGTGCTGTGGTGTTTGACTGTCATTTGAATAATTTTTAAAAGCAAGTTATTTAATTGTGTTTGTGCTAATTATAATGCTTACAAATCAGGGAAAGATGCATTTAGTGGCCCATTGGGAATTGGCTTTGAAACCTCACATGTCTTTGAGTCTACAGTACTGTCATTTATTCCTAGACTCTTTCTAATACTAGGGTGATTTGCTTTTTAGATTACTCTTGCATGGAAAGCAAGTCTCGGGAGTCTTCAGCTCCATGGAATTCAAAACCAGGTTCACATGCATCTGTGTGTCCTTCCATAGATTTTAACTGAGTTATTTTCTTCTTTTCAAGGTCCCCGGGTCCCGATGGTGACTGTTCACAACACAACCAATGCACAGAGTAAGATGGACTTGACCTTTGCAATTCTTCAGAGGAAAATAGCCAGGCAGAACACTGGGGTGTAGCTGCTCTTTGGTAAACTTACACCAGCAGGGAGCTCAGACTCTGCCTAAATGCAAGTCTTCTGCAAGTAAATGGGACTTGCTGTTTGGGGTGCAAACACAGGGCTTTGGGCGTTATGCTTGTTATCAGCTTTCTCAAAAAAATAATAATAGTAATGATTTAGAATCAAATTTGTGGCATATTGTAGCCTATGCTGTTAAAATAGAAATACTCTAATACTCTACAGTGTTCTATTTAGTGTCAATGCTGTTAAGGAAATGTGTTGTACATTTAACTCTAATTTATCCTCCCATCTTTTTTCAGTCAATTTCTTCCTATTAAAATGTTCTTTTGCAGAGGGAGAAATGCATAATAAATTCAGCAGCATCCTAGGACAAGTTAGGTTAAAGCAATGTACTGCTGTGTGACTGTCCAGTAAGGGCAGCAAGAGAGATCTTTGCTGCCACAGCAAAGCAGCACAACTTCCCCTGGACCGTGGCTTAGGCCATCAGACATCATCTTGCTTATGGAGTGACTGTGAGATAAAGATGTCATTTCCTTGTGACTCAGTTTCCCCACTGGTCTGTAGTTTCTGGATAAGAATGCCATGATGGAGCTCTGGACTTTCTATCCAGAGGAGGGTTCTCACTTTTTGTACATGTTAATGTTGTTGCAATAGCGGGATAGCAACATGTGCCCCTCTGGTCCCTGGCTCTGCTATAAATATGCAAAGGTTAGCACTAGTAGCTGTTCTGGTTTACAAAAACACAATACTTGCTTTTTTTTAAGTAATATTGAAAGCAAATGGCAAGACCCTAGCTGCTCAGTCTTCCTGCACCAGTGACCACTCATAGCTGGGTCTTTTCACCAGGAGGTATCAGCTCTTCCTCCTGGCAGAGGCCTGGGCTTGGCAGTGCCCTTGCTGAGCATCACTCCAGAGCAGCTCTGTTGATGCCCACAAGGCTCTTCAGCCCACAGAGGATGTTGCCACAGGGCCAGGAGAGTTAGCTCTGACCTGCAGCTCCAAAGTAAATTTATTTTTCCCCCTCCTTAAGCACAATATTTTCATTTTACCATAGGCATGGAGACTGTAACAGCATGTACAGGAGAGAGCTCTCATGAAATGTGTCATAGCCCCCTGTATTATAAAATACTTTTATGTGAATAAAATGAGAAATGCCATAAAACAGAACGAGCGAATGAAAGGCTTGAAAAAGTAACATAAACCACACAGACACTAGTTTTATTTTTACAGATATATATGTGTAGCATTTATTACACAGAGAACTCAATCTAGTCATGCACAGAACACATCCCCTACTGAAATCCATTATTTTTGCATATGATTAGCATTTCCCCTGCTTCTTTTTTTCTTCCTCTCATTCTTTTGCTTTTGAAAACAGGGCAACTGACAGTTGCATGTTCCTGAATGTACTTACTTAATATGACCCCTTTACTCTATAAAGGGAGTTTGCCTCTGTATTCTGCAATAATCTGATAATAGTGAGTTGCATTGAATATTATAGTGTGCTTACATTTAATTAAGCAATGACCATTTGTACTCCACAGGCTCAAGCTCCCTGTGGTCCTAAAGCAGAAAAGAAAGTCCTTTAGGAGATATGCCAATCTTTTTTATTTCCTCCACAGTCTTCCTGGCTTTCTGTGAATGCAATTATATGAACAAACAAAATGGCTTGACTAAATTCCCCTACGTGGCAAGGCCCTTTCTGCTGATAAAGCTACTTTTGTGCCTGATAATTAAATGAGAATATTAATATTTAACTAAATGTAATAGGCTGTTGCTTTGGCACTTTTGTGAGGGTAGTGGTTTCAATGGAGATGAGCCAGGCATTTCAGAAGCAGAGTGAATAGTCATGGAATCAATAGTGTTGCTGAAAGGTCTGTGATGATACATGTTCACTGGGAAGGACACAGTTTTGTGTTGTGCCTGCCTGTTCAGCAGAGATGAGTGATGGCAGCATGATAATCAGGTACCAAAAGTATTATTTGAGGAGCTGGGGTTACACATCTGTGTTTCAGTGTGTCTCAAAAGGAAAACTACAGTCGATGAAAGAGAATTTTAGGCAAAACCCTCAAGCCTTAGGCTCACATAGCAAGCCCTGGATCCCCCTGGTTCAACCCCAGTCTGATGTAATGACAATGAGCAGTGCAAAGGGCTCCCCAGACCAGGATTCACTGCCACTGCAGTGGGCATCCCCCAGCCCTTTAATCCTTCCCCCATGGAGCTCAAGAACCTGTCATCAAGAGATGTTTCCCACCATGTAGGACATACAATCTGAAATGTCTCCTGAAGATGTAGCAGCTTTCTGTACCAGCTGGGTACTGTACTCCTTTCCTGTACCAGCTGGGAAGGACTTGTTCCTTCTGACATTGGAGATGCCTCGTTTTTCCAGAAGAGGCTCAACAGTTAGAGCACATGGCCAGGATGTGGTGTACAAAGGTTAAATACTAGGAAGGAGAAAGGAATCCTCTTTTTCAGTTCTAGAGTGCTTGGATAAGACACACAGGTGAAATGAACAATTCTTGAAACATTCTGAAAGCCAACACACCTCCAAAACCTAATGTAGCAGGGTTGTATGTTCTTTGCCCACTCTACTCTCCCTGTGGCTTTCTGACCCATGGGTTTTCCCTTTGTGTAGCAACACAACTATGTCCTGAAGCCCTCCAAAGCCTCCTCCCTTCCCCCATTTATTACATGTAGTTTGAACACAGATGTTCCTCACCTAATTATCTTCTACCTGATATCAGGGAGATGTCTGACTGCAACCCAGAATTGTGTCTCAACACAGAAAATCTTGTTCCCATTTGCTGAATGTCACTGATTTTGGGAATACAACTTCTTGCCAACACAGAACCTGGAAGAAGTTTCAAAGACTTAACTGAATTAGAAGTCTGTGAGGACTAGAAGGAAATTCTTTCAAAGGAAACTTGCATTACAAATGTTAAGGTGGATATAAAATGTTAAAATGCATTTTTACAAATAATGCCAAAAAAAAATGAGATCTTGTTCTTCTTCTTTCAGAAATTTTTGAGCTGGAGGTAAATGAAAATGTGCAGCTGACTGTAAATGACAGGCAAATGCCTAATGTAGAATACAGGGACATCAAGATAGATGATTACAGTAAGTAGTGTATTTCCTTTCCCTATTTCTTTCTCACTGGTGTTGCTGTGAAATGATACAGTCATCTTGGCTAGACTGTCAGGAGAAAAAAATTACTTTGGCTTTCAAAAAACTCACACAGTTTGCAAAGCACTCTCTTAGGATGTGCTACATAAAGAGGTTATTACAGAGAGAGGATTTGGTGAGAATGCAGCTGAAGAAGGGAAAAATTATAAGACTAGGTCGTTTGGGTTTTTTTCCCTTTTAAAATTTTCTTGGTAGAGAAAATACCACCCTGAGAAATGACACAGTCTGGTACCCCCATTGTTTGTGGTACTTGCCCTAGCTGGACTGGTGTATTTTTTGGGATGGGTTTGAAGTGGGATGTTGTATGTCCTTGGTGGCTACAACCTTGGCTGCCTTTCAGTACACAATACTGAACTGCAGTGAATGAAGATGGCTCACCAGTGACTGCCCATCAGAGTCATTCTTTGAGAAAGCCCTAGCACTTGATAGGGTTGGGGGAAAAAAGCCTTATGAGAAAAGGCAAAGAGATTTTCCTGTAGTAAAGAAGGCAGAATCTTGGAGCAGTTTATGTCTGCAGCTGGTGGGTTATGTGCACCATTTGTGTAATCATTCCCCACACATCTATATGCCAAACAGGGCAGAGAGAGAGAGAAAAGCCTAGTTGCAAACAGCCAAAGTGAAAGCATTTTCTTCCTGTCTCTGTAGTTGCACCTGAAACAACCTAAAAAGCATCTCTATCTGTAAGCAGGTATCTTACCTATATGTAGAAAATTCACATACTCAGAGTTGTGTAATGGCCTCAGTTTGTGTGTCTGGTGGCAACTCCCAAAGAATCCCAAAGACCCTGGGTTCAAAGCATGACCCATAATTTTCCATGCCAAAAAAGAGTGTACCTCTCAGGTCAGATGCAGTGAAATGAAAGCAGCAAGGTGTGATGGGTCACTAATTGCAACCACTACCAGGTGCTATAAAATGTGAAGCAAAGGCTGAGACAGTTGCCATTTGAAAAGGATCATAATGGCCCTGAAGTGCTCTGCTGGCCACATGGGCACTAGGAACATAATCCAGTGCATAAAATAACAAGAACAGATGTGCATTTCCAGGCCTGATGGGCAGGAAAAGATGTAAAGGAACCTGTCATGAAGATCATGTCTTTCCCCAACATGAGCCAATTCATAGTGGCACTGAGAGCTTAATCAGAATTACTCAACTTGATCCTTAATTTCTTAACTCCAAGTATCATTGAAATGTGATTCTGCTTGTGAAACCAAAAATATATGCTTGTGCATAATAAATACAAGGTGGTCATAGCACTGTGGCTTTTCTTTGTCCTCCCTGTATTTTCAAGGCCTTGGGTTTAGCAGCCCTGGGAATCTTGCACTTAGTGCTTAGTTATATTTAAAGTCAAGCAATGGCCTTGTCTGTCCCTGGGCCATTGATCCAATTTGCAGCTATTAGCATTCAGATGGAATAACTAATTAGGCTGAGTGTCAGACAATGATTGCAAAGCAAACCACTTAAACCACGCGGTTAATCTGTGTATTAATCTACTGAAAATGCTCCTAATACCAATTTAATTGCTGGGCCTTTGCTAATCTGGATTGTAGTTAACATTTTAAAGACAAATGTGCTGGCGTTAATGTGGAAAGCATTTGTACAGCAACATTTCTGGCTCTCAGTACCAGGCCAATGGAAGCTTTGGTGAGGCCATGTCTCATATTGGTTCTGTACCAGTATAATGACAGGGGTTTCAGCACAATTACTTCCAATTTTACAGCAAAATTAAGCCCTCTAAAAATTAGGATTAAAATACATGTTTGTCTGTCTGTCTTCATGCCATTACAGCACAACAATCCTATTCTCTCCCCAGCCACCATACTTAATTGGGTTTTAAATTATCATTTTCATCTCTGATTTTCCCCTTCCTCTGCTGCCCTGAAATACTGATTTCTGTCTGTGTCACTCATCCAGCTGCCAAAAAGGAAAATTATAGCTATTGCCAGATGTTAATTGAATGCTGTAAAAGTGATGCACGATTGAGCAGCTCACGCTCTCCTCCTGATTTACATTTCTTGTCACCTCGGCTATCATAATATGGGTCTTTTCTTTGACAACATCTGTGTTCCTAAGGTGTTATTTACCAGTGTATCTGATGAAATGCCTTTTTGTTCCTGCTCATAAGTGGCCAAAACGCCAGGAAAATCTATTAGAATGATGTCAGTGTTGCCACACTAAAGACATGCTGTTATTTGGGTTGTTTTTTTCCCTAGGATTGCCAATGCAGATCTTGAAGCCAGCAACCTTTTCAGAAACTGCACACTACCCCTTGCTTTTGATTGTGTAAGTTCTTACTCGTCCTTTCTTTCAGTTCACATTGGAAACCTCAGCCACAATCAGAACCTTTTAAGATATATTTTGTACAAAGAATGCAAGAACCTAAGCCCAGTGCATTGGTCCCTATCCCCTGCCTCACTCCCCAGCTGGCAAAGGCTATAGACATAGCTCCCTTCTCTCCCATGTTTGAGCCAACTCTCAGCAGGGTCTCCTTTGGAAATCCTGCAGAGCAAATTGTAGGATTTGGTAAAGTTGTCCCACGCACACCTGTAATTCAATAATTTGGGGGGCAGAAACAGGAGGAGCAGGAATAAAAGATGGATGCTGACTTTCTGTCCAGGTGGTTAGAGCACACTCTGTGTTTAACAGATATTTGTAGAAGGGAATTCAGTAAGCCTTACTACAGCTTAAATTTTAAACTCTCTCCATCAGTAATCCTTCTCATGGAAATACCAGTGTTCCCTGAAGTGACAGTGAAGGGAGAGCTAGAAACCTTTGAAGATTTCCACAATATTAGCATTTATACCAGGGAGGCAGGATCTCCTCCTGGCAGACACAGCAGATGGGTTTTTCTTTATGCAACATTTAGTAATCATAATACACATTACTGAGTTTTTTCTGGCAATTTGGAAAGAAACTGAGGGAGGGAAGTCAATGACCTTGAAAAAAACCTGCATGGCCCTGGCTGTGTCCCACTGCATCACTTGCTCCCTGCTGGGGAACCCTCCACGAGAGAGAACCCACCTGCAGGAGTGATGGGTGCCTGAAGACCACCCTGCACATCCCTCCATGAAGAATTAAACCAATGCAATAAGCATGTCATTACATCACAAAATTACTGCAGAGAAAATGTACTTCATTATACAAGTGCTTGAGGAAGATTGGTACTCATCAAGCTAACAGCACTTGATTAGGCTGCCTCTGAAACTGGATGTTCCCCCGTCTCACGTGAATTAATGCAAATGACTGAAGTACATGATGCACATTAAAATCCTGCAGTGAGTCTCCTGATATCTCCAAGAACCCCAAAAGGACAAACAAATTAAAGCACTAATGGTTCTACAGTAATCCCAGTCCTAAAATATTACTTCACATCTTTTTCGTCACCACCTGTTGATTTTTCTGAGCTCTCTGGCTGAGGTACGGTCAGTATTTCTCAGGACAGTTCCCCCTGTGCAGGATGGGACCCTAAGCAGAAGGTTGAAAAGGGAGTCTTGCCCACCCTTTCCTCTTCCACACCAATTTGGAACCAACCTGAGCATTTTTAATCCATTAATTTTATCACTCTAAAAGTGTTCTTGTGTTAAGCAGCGGTGACTGAAGGGACTGACAGCTCCATCTAGAGCTGCTCTGGAGCAGCCCACAGGAGAGGGAAGGGCTGGGCAGGGGGAATGGGAGCAGGAAATGAAACCCAAATGCTTGCCAGTGAAGAAAAGGGGGGTTGATATCTGCAAGCTTTATCCAACATATTTTTGCAGTCCCAGCACTCCCTAATGCCAGAAGCCCCTCCACCAGAAAAACCCCTGTAGAAAAGAGCTATAGATTAAAACAGGCATAAATGGGGAAAAATCAACTGACGTCTGCATGGCTGCCCTGATTTGCTCACAGGAGGAATCCTGCCCAGTCAGTGATGTGCTTGCTCGGCTTGTTCAAAGCTCAGTTCAGCACAGAGATAGTTGCTGTGCAAAGAGGAAGGCAGAAACCAGCCTGCAGCTTCCACCCAAACCTCAAAACCCACCCCACGCAGCCAGCCTCCTGCACACCATCACTGCAGGGACTCACCTCCCCTCCTTGAAGTCTCCCCCATCCCTGCATCAATCTCACAGCCTTGGGGAGGGCGTTTTGACCTGTGCTTGGGGCCATTGCCTTGGCTTGAAAACCTCTTTCTGTTTCAGGGATGGGACACCTGGCAGCCAGATTGTCACAGAGAGATTCGAGGTGACGTGGGAGAGCGTCATGGTCAGCTCCCACAACGCCATCGTGCTGAAGTTCGACGGCCGCGGGAGCGGCTTCCAGGGCACTAAACTCCTTCACGAGGTGAAGAGGAGACTGGGCCTTTTGGAAGAGAAGGATCAGTTGGAAGCTGTCCGGTGAATGACACTATCATCAAATCCATTCATTCATTCATGATAGCTAACCCAAAACTGACCTTAGTCCTGGCTGCTTTAAGGGTGCGTAGGATAGAGCAAGGAGCTTGGTGGGAAGGACAATGTAGTGATAGAGCTGGGACCAAGTGGTGGCATGTGAGAGAGTGCTCATGCCAGCCACTGCAAATGGAGGAAAAGAAGCCTTAAATAGAGCTAAATTAGAGCACACTTAGCTTTATCATGTGTTCAAAGCCCATTTATTTTTAGCTCTCTACAGTCACACAGCTACAAACAAGTAAGCTTGAATATCAGCTCCTACATTCCTCTTTAAATTCTTAAACTTTTTAAAACAGAAAGAAACAGTGCAAAACCCTAAATGTCAAGTCCTGCCATATTGTTAGATTTATTCTGCACATAATCACACTAAAAAAACTATCAGAGTAGTACAATTGTATCAGATTTATTATGACTTTCAGAGGTAGTGCATGTTATTTGTTGCCATTGCTTGGTCAAATCCAACACAACTAGTTGCAAGATTAAATCAAACAGAGACTCGAGTGAAAGCAGCAGGTAGCAGTATGAGTTTAGACTGTCTACATCATATTTCTGTGGCCACCCCAAATTCAAGCTGATAAAAATGACATTATGTTTACTATATCTAAGGGAAACATATTTTTAACTCATTGTTTCTCCTCTCTCACGTTCTAGGACAATGCTGAAGGAGCATTACATTGATAAAATGCGAGTTGGTGTGTTTGGGAAGGTAACATTTTCCCGTTGTTCCTCTGTGTTGTCCTAGTTGGCTGATGTGGCTGAGCAGCTGAGCTAAATCCTGATTTATTGAATATGTCAGTGACAACTTTTTTATTATTATTTATTTCTGAGATAGTCTGCTTCTTGCTCAGATATGTTAGAGATGAAAGCTTTCATTTTATCAATGTATTTGTCAATGTGTTGTTTTTTTTAATTAACTGCCAAGTAGAGAAAGTAGCTATTTTTCAGGAAAACACTGTCAGATAATTAATTCTTTTTTCCCCTTGCAAACTTTCATTTCGTTTTTGTTTGTCCCTTAAGGCGTGTGGGAATGTGAGTAGACCTAGTTCATGTTGTACAAGTGTACAACAAAATTGATTTCTGCAGCTGATTTGCACCACGGGGTGTTCTTGGCTGGGAAACAGCAATTGCAGAGTGCACATAGTTTGAAATTAGGGGGACTATGAGTAGAAATTGTTTGTTGTAGGAGATACAGGCTATGGGTAGGTGGAGAGAGCTGCACATACAGCAGCCTCTCTGCAGGGAACTGCTTACAGACTGTCAGCAGACACTGACATTGTGATGTCCATTTAGAATAATGAAAGAGTGGGGTGATGTTTGGGAGAGGTAACATACCTCATCAGGCCTACAGCCATAACCTGGGATGAAAAGAAGCAACCTGTTGGGCACACAACCCTCCTGCCTTCAGGAGAGTGCAACGAGGGTAGAGCTCACCATCAGCTGCAGCTGACAAAGGCAGGGAGATATCCCTTGTCTCCTGATCTTTCAGAGCAAGGTTTTAAAGGCTTCATAATGGTTGAGGGGCTGCTACAAGGTCTCAGCTGCACCCAAAAGCAGCAGTGCCTCATGGCAGGACCACTGATGCCCCTGCCCTGTTTGTGTTCCAGGATTATGGTGGCTACCTGAGCACTTACATGCTTCCAGCTGGTGAAGAGAACCAGGTGTTTGCCTGTGGAGCTGCCCTTTCCCCACTGACAGACTTCAAACTATATGGTAAACCCCATCCCAGAGCCCACAGACCCTCTTGCTGACTACAAATGATGTTTCTGCCCTGTCCTGTCCTGGTTATCTTTTCTTTCCTCCCCAAGATCCTGCTTCTGGATGGATGCCTTTGTAATGTGAATCTTCTCAGGACCAGCCACAATACATTTTTTCCTCCTCAGGGCAATTTTGCTGGAACTAGTGGGACCAGCCATGGTGGTCAGAGAAATCAAATAACTTTTACTGCTCACTTCTTTTAAATAAAGAAGAATTGGCTGTAAACCTCTCCACTCTCTGACACCAACTGGCAGCACTGCCTTGAACATGCTTCTTTCTTGCCTGAACTATCCCCCTGTGGGAGCTGTGGTCCAGCCTGCCCATCCAGTCTCCTCTGTGATGGCAATGCCTGTAGTTGACTGTTGATGGAGGTGGCCCCATGTGAAAGAACAAAGGGAGACAACATGATAGTTCTTTTCTCTTGTATCTCATTTGCATTAAGGAAGAAACAAAAAAGAATAAGGCTCTTCTGTGACCGATTTAGAAGCCATAAGTAAATGGTGATAATGAAAACCTGTAGTATCTTATATATTCTTAGTGCATTTTCAAAGCCTTTGAGAAATATGTCCTAACTAAAGCAATATTAGAAAATAAGGTCTTTTTTAGCATAAGCAATCTTTGATTCAGAAGCAGCAGTCTACTCACTTATGACTGAAACTGATATTTTCTTTTTTTTCTTTTCAAGCTTCAGCCTTCTCTGAAAGATATTTGGGCTTGCACGGGATTGATAACAGAGCATACGAGGTAATTGCATGGGCACTGCACTTTCCTGACACAAATGTGAATGGGGTTCTAGATCTTCCTCCCTGTGCTGCTCTCTTTTGAAAAAGGAGCAAGGATAAGCAAGATGGACTCACTAGTAAAAATCTGAAGGTGTCCTTCAGCCTGTTTACTGCTTTTGTTGTCTTTGTAGTAATAATGGATACAGTTGTTATTGATTAGCCTTCGTGTCTGCCTCTCTAAATACAGTTACTCCAGTTTTACAGATTGAAAGAGCTAAGGTTGAGTGCCTTGAATGTGCCAAAGGGGACATGATGTCACAACCTCCTTTAAAATTCATCCCAAAGGCCTTGCCTCTTTGATTCTCTCTGAGATACAATTTTTGACCCAAACTCAAGTGAAGCTCAGCTTCTCTTGTCTTTTTCAAACTAAACACGTATGTGATACTTCCCATAGGCAGAGCTCTGTGCCAGAGTTGGGCAGGACTTGGAAAAGGAGCATATTGTTTAAATATGTGTGATGGGATTAGGTGATTCACATCTTTTTTCCTTGGAGAAAAAACCTAATAAAGAATAGTCAGCTAAACAAGCAAACCTTGTTAAGCCTGCTAAGCTTTGTCTTCCAATAGAAGACACAAAGGCAGCAGAGGTTTGAAACTGTTTTCTTCCAGAAAAGACAAGTAGCTGCTTGTGCCCCTGAGTGAAAGCTTGTCCTGGCTATCTAAATGTGGAGTTCATTGTGTCTCAAATTTTGCACTCGTGATGTCTAGATCATTGCAAACTCTTTTACTCTTTTTAGAAGTCTGAAGGCAGGTCAGCAAAAGTGAATGCAAAGGAAAGTATTCCAGAAATGAGAGATTTGTTTTGCCACGTGCTGGTCTAAGCAAATAGTGGTACTTATGGTTGACTTGGCATTAACTGCTAGGAACATCACCTGAGCTCCCTGCAGAGCCTGGAACTGCTCTGGGTTTGGACCCTTACTGGTGCACATCTGCTACACCCCACAGTGGAACCATGAATTGCTTAGGGAGAAGAACTGCTCCTGACCCATGGACCAGACATGAACTTTATGATGGTCACCTAATTCAAGAGCTGATTTAAACTCCAAAAAAGCTGTATTGTCATGTGAGAGGTTACAGCTGAAGGAGCAGAAAGGAAGGAGCCACTTAGGGGGAGAGCAGAGGGCAAGGCATGTGCATACACCATCACAAGGCTTAAGCATCACAGCAATCTGAGGGTGAGCGAACTCATTAATCAAGTTCAATAATAGAGGGAGGATAAGAGAGCACCCTTGCAAAATCCACAACCACTTTCTAAGCCCTTACAGAGTGTGGAGCTGCAAGAGAGCCAGAACAGGCCTGTGTCCACCAGCATTTCCAAAAACTTGCCTCTAGCACCACAGAAATACACAGGGCTACTTCTAATGCTCAGGGCTGCTTTATCTTTTAAATTAAATACACATACACTGTAATGTAAAATGATAGTGAGCTTAATAATACACACCAATGTTTTTAGCTACCTAGTTTGACCTCTGTAGCCAGGCATGGAAGGTCCTATTGCTGTTGCAGATGCACTTTTCTATCTTCTGTAGAAACTATATAAGCCAGTGGGAAGATGAAACAGGTGCAGATAGAATTGATACATGGGTGCCTAAACTGAAAAATACATTACTCATGTGAATGAGTGAGAGCCAGGGCACATGCATTTACACAATGAAGGAAACATGAATTTCACTTGGGGCAGGTATTCTTCTCTTCTGCTATGAAACAATAATATCTGTGATTTGAAATGTACATTTCTTTTGCTGCTCCAGGAGTTTCTGGAAGTCTTGGAGTCTCCTTGAGACTTATATTCTTCTGAATGCACCAAAAAGTGGAGAAGTCCTTCATTTCTCTTTATGTGGTATCGTTTGCAGTCACTCAGATTTGTATTTCCCCTGTGCATCTGACAGACAGCTGGGGGCAAAGGCATTCTCAGCAGTGGACACCTGAATTTAGTGTGAAATCATCCCTTGGGCTGTCAAAGCTCATTGAGGTTGGCTTTCAAACCACACCAAAGTCACTCCAGCTCTCTGAGGAGTTCTTAGGCATAGGCACCTGGGCACACTTCAGTGTTTTGTATTCACTGGAAATTCACTTTGACATTTTCCATGTGTTCTGTAGTTCAGGCTTTTGGTGATCTTTATCAGAACAAATGAGGGTTCTTCCTGCTGCTGATCCTGAGCCTGGAAGGACACAGGTGGGGGTCTATTTTACCTCCAGACTGATTCAAATAGCTAGGAGAATAAGCTGTGCTGGTGTCTGCTTGTTATCCTTGTGATGAAGTATCAAATGGAATTCAGCGCTTCCATTTTCTCTATATAAATTGCTAATTTTTAGCAAGATTTTTAATCTTATTGCAACCTTTACCTTCACAGATCACCAAATTAGCAAACAGAGTCTCATTACTGAAGGAACAGACATTTTTAATCATTCATGCTACTGCTGATGGTAAGCTAGCCCATCATTTGAGCTCATTATGTGTTTGGGACTTTGATTTTTCTTAATTAAATTTGCCTCTTTAATGATTGCAATTTGTTTTTACAGAAAAAATCCATTTTCAGCATACTGCAGACCTTATTACACACCTAATTAGGGCAAAGGCTAATTACAGCTTGCAGGTACAGTATTTTTTTCCTCTTTTTTTGTATATTTGAACAGTTATTTCCCAGTTTGAACTCAAACTGCTGTTAAGAGACAACCTTTGAAGAGCTACTTGCAATAGCAGCAGTGTACAATGTGTTCCTGTGTGCTCCTGTGCTTGTTTGGTACCATGGTTTTGGTTTGGACAGTTGTTGAACAATTATTAAATTAGAGAAAATTGGGGTTTGAGAGACATATCTCTAAGGAATTGGCGCCTGTTTACTTTCTTTGGGAACAACAGGCTAACTTCAGGATGAATTACAGGGAAATGGGGATCTAAATCAAATCAACCAGAAAAGTTAAGGAGAGAAACATCTCTTAGATCTGGCATCCCACTGCAAATGACATGCTCTGGTCTGGAAAGCCCTTCATTCAGCTGAATTACATCTCTGAGTTGCTGAACAGCCCATGTCCAAAGCATTGAAGCTTCCAAAATGAACCCATCCACCAGCCATGGAGGTGGTCCCTGGCCATCTCCTTAACTACATGTCAAACCATGGTCAGGAGAATGCAACAACCCAGGCTCATGCCAGGGTCCGTGCAACAGTTCACAGTATATAGATGGTTGAGTTGCAATGCCCAGGTCCTACCAACACTTGTTTTGCTGAATACCAGCTCCCTCTGGCTGCATTTCCCTGGAGCTTCATGTGATGGGTGTGCTCACTTCATCATGTTCCAAGGGCAGGTAGGCTAGAGCACAGACACAGGAGCTTAGCAATGAGTCCCACTGGAGCTAGGTCAGCATTACAGTGACTGAGGTACCTCTGCATATTTTGCAGTGCAGAACTGCTACTTTAGAGCTTGAAGTCATCAATGGGCTAGAGGCATCTCAAAGATTAGTTGAGAACTGAATAGAGGGGCTGAGAGATCTATATCTTGGTTTGAGGTAGTCAACAGTGCAAGGATCCAGCACTAGAACCTTGGTTTTCTACCTTCAATATCCTGGTCTAGACAACCAATCATGATTATTAAGATCAAATATAATCTTCTTGCACTGCTTGAAAAGAAGTTACCTGTTTCATTAAAATAGAAAGTTGTCTTTAAACCTTCTCAGTCCTAGCTTCCCACATTTTTTCTATTTAATTACTTTTCCAGCAGGCTTTATTTCAATTTTTTTGCTTAATGACAGGGTTTTTTTTTTTCTTGGAAGTCCTCATTTTAGTCAGTAAAACCTAGGGCTGCTTCCCTCCATTGACTTGCACGGGGGGGGGGGTTCAGTTTTCAGAAGGAGCAAACACTGTTATTTGTAAGTGTGGTCTGGTTCTGCTTAGCCTGAACTTGTTCCTAATGGAATTAAATGGAAAATACCCCCTCCTCCCTTTTAAAGGAAGATGCAAGTCTGAGCTCAGGGCGCTGGGGTGCCTGAATTGCCCTGGACCTCATGTGCACCTACAGGAAGACACATGGTGCTGAGGAACAGCAGTGGATTTGCAGACCAGCTCAAGTTGCAGATCTGGACAGTTGGTCCTGAGACTTTAAGCTCCTAATGGTGTGTATTTCCCTGTTCTTCACAGATTTACCCTGACGAAAGCCATTACTTTAGCAATGCAGCACTGGAGCAGCATTTGTACAACTCCATCGTCAACTTCTTTGTGGCGTGTTTCCAAGTTCAGGACAAACTCCCAATAGCCCCACTGAAAGAGGAGGAGGACGACGATTAACCCTATTTGTCAGTGCTAAGCACAAGGCAGATCTCTCTAACAATATGCAACTGGATCATTTTCCTGAAGAAAGAGATGTTACGTTGTTAGCATGTGTTTAAAGAAAACTGAAAGCAGCTCATCTGCTTTACTGACAGCAACTCCTTCCTAAATGGAAGAGCACTACGCATGGTGAACTCAGCAGAAACTGCTGTCTCAAATTAATCCATCACAACCAACATCTTTTTTTTCTTTCTTTCTTTTTCTTCCCCTTTTTTCCCTTTCTTTGTTGTTTTTCTTTTTGTTGTTGTTGTTTCCCACAAAGTGACTTCTGGCATGAAAATGGCGAGACACTGGACTTGAAGGAACAACACAAGAGACCATTTTAAGGACTGGAAGATTACCAGGTCTTTGCATTCAAGCAATCAAGAAGTAGCAGTGAAATCCATCATCCATATTAAGGTTACTCTAGTTAGCATCACACTGTGTCAGAAAAAAAAGTAAATCTAACTTAATACATGGAAAAGATAATAGCACAATTATTTTGAAGAAAGCATACTTGCCTCTTTCTTTCCCATGTTCAGAAGGTTTCTCGTTGCTACAGGACAAAGAAATTCAGTTGTACAAAATATTGCTATAGCTACATTGTTCTTTACCTTCCTGTAATTATTTCTTAATTTTATATAGCTTTTACTTCTGTTTTCACTGGGTGTCATGCTTCCACTATTAACTTCTCAACTTGTTCTGGATTGGGAATAAACATACACTGAGTTAAGCAACTCACTTTAGACCTTAGGGGTCCAAAGGGGCAATGAGGGTCAAGGTACCCAGACATGAAAAAATCTATTAGACTAAAGCAAAGGAAATCTCAATCTCGTATTCCTGGCACAGCTTTTATCTGCAAGATTGAGTATTTCCTTTGGTAGCCTTGAAAAATATGCACATAAAGAAGCTAAATCAGCCTAACATTGAGATATTTTTATTGTACTGTAGAAAAATATGCGACAGTCACAATTCTTTTTTCCTATTCTTTTAGTGTTGGAACAATGGGTTGGCAGCCTGTTGGGGTACAGCTAGATGAGGATATGGTAGCAGGAATTTGTACCAGATACTTCACGGATCATCTCACAAAGCCATTTAAACAGAACCAATGTGCAGAGACGTATTGCACGTGCTGTCTGTGGCTGAGTTTTAATCCAGGTCAATGACTAATACATTCCAAACACATTTAATTATCTCTTCTGCTCACACTAGCACAAAAGAAGTGGGAGCATTTTTTAATATTTTTTTTTTGCTTTTAAATACCTAACACTTCATTCTAGCAGTGCAAAGCAACTTTTAAAACTTCTTGTGAAAAAAAATTCAACTGTCAGAAAGGAATCCAACATTCATTCACTTTCACTCATCGCATCAGAAGAATTTTGACTAGTGTCGCTCCTTGTAAAATAGTCTGACCAAATGTACAGCCAGTATTAATACTGTATATTTCATTTTGTTGTATATAAAGGAATGTAAGTCAGCTATTTGTCAGGTCCCCAATCCAATATTAGTCTTGTGTTCAGCATGCATGCGATAACACTTCTTTGCTGATCAGGACTCTTTAGAAGTACTATCTTGAAGATATAACAATTAATGTCATTTCTTTTCTTGTTTTGACACCTTCAATGTCAATGCTGGTTTCTATTTTTTACATAGTACTGTGGGTCAACTCGCATCCTGACAGCAATGATGATGTTTCCATTGTGTTCTTTACTGTGTCTTTTTTTTTTCTTTTCTTTCTTTTTTTTTTTTTTCTTTAATTAGCATTATTTTAAGCTTTGAATGTTGGTTGTACATTGACCATCATGAAAAATATATGGATAAACCACAGAAATTACCTAGTTTGGTTTTGGTTATCTGCTTTGTTTTACAGTGCATCGACATTGTGTGAACAAGAACCACAGGTAGGAATCTGCTTTAACTGGCAAAATGCCAAATAGACAAGAAGAATGCTGTGTGACCAGATTTTGCTACACCAAACAGGCTCAAAAGTCTGAAATGAACTTGACCCGAGAAATGTAAAAATCTGCTCTGTCCACAATCTTTTGTAGAAAGAACTTTAGGATGTGGCATGGTAGTGTTTGTTCATTCATGGAATAAAACATTATTTTACCACCCTGGTTGCTACTGCTGTTATTTAGTGTTAAGTGCTTCAATAACCATGAAGTTGCTGGAAGTGCTATTCCTGGTTGAACGGAGCCCAAACTCCAGGGTGCAGATCAGAAAAAATGAAAACATCCTTATAAATAAATACACAGCATTTAGTCTGCCTGCAACTTCCACACATGGTGTCACCATGGTAAATGGTGACTGCTTCTGAGGAAAACATGAAGTAGCACAAAATGCGTTCAATCCCAGAGTATCAATTAATTAGAAGACTCCTGTCACCTTCTACTCTTTGGTGAAAAGACACCTTTTCTCCCTTTCTGCCTGCTGACCTCAGTGCTTGGGATACCTGCTGACCCAGCACACAGGCTTCCAAAGGGCATCAGCCAGGTACAACAGTTTGACCAAATGGATTTTTGGCATTTCATCCATCGTCCCTCTTCCCAGAAGTTGCCTTTTGGGTTATGAAGTGGGAACAAAGCACTAAAACTTACCAAGTCTGCCCTAGCAGATTTTTCTGCAAAAGATTCTCCATCAGGAAGAGACAAGCATGAGAAGGGAGTCATCTCACCCAAATTCAGATGTTTGATTTCCTTCAGGCCAAGAGGAGAGCCATATACCTGTGCTTAGACACCTCCCTTGAACAAGCAGCAGCTTTTCCACGTGTCTGTTTCACTCTACTGGCTGCAGGGACAAGAGCAACTATCCCAGACTGAAGCAGCAAGGGGACAAGTTGGGGGCATCCCCAGCTGTCCCCTGTAACAGCACTTTGCAGACTCCATCTGAATGTTCCTACACCTTTCCACTGTAAAGGAAATCCTTTCATTTCACAGATTTCAGAAGAAAATGAAGATTTCTGCTCAAATTAGAAATCCTGGCTGTTGCTGCACCCCACAAAACACTGTCTGTTCCATCTCAAGCAATAACTTCAGGAGACATTGAAATCTGCAGAGACATCTGTGTCTCTAGGCCTAATAAAGACATGAAAGGTCTTTTAACCTTAAAAGACTAAATCATGTAGCAGGGCTGTGATGCTCAGTAGCCACTTGGAAGTACAAGGATGACAAGGATGCTTTCCAATGGCACCATGCTGATTTACTGCACCTCTTCAGTGTCCAGGGTGATGTCTGAATTAATTCACAGGAAGAGAAATGTAGTATTTCATAACAAAGCCAAGAAATTATGGTGAACACTTAGTCTAATCTTTGTTGCTAACAACTCAGGAAACAAGAAGCTTTAGCACTGCTGCAGGCAGATTGCACAAGTGCAAAATAGCTTTGCTTTTATTTTGCTTAATTACCTAAATGTAACTAATATTTTTTTTTAATTGTCCAAAAAACCCAAGTTCACCCTCTCCACAAACTGCTGTTTCTGAATGCCATAATGTTCAACTGTGGCACCCCAAAGCAGAAAAGCACTAATGAGTGATGCCCTACTAATTCAAAGGAAACCACAGAGGCACTCAGGCATTGCTGATATCTAATTAACAAAGCCAGGCAGCCAGCCATGTTTGTAATTGTCTGTGGGTTCAGGCATGGAGCATATAAACCCATCCAAGCTCTGTCCACGAGCTCAGGCCAAATAAATGCTGTATCTCTGAAGGGTAGGAAGGAAAAAAAAAAAAAGTGAAGTAGAAGGGATATGTGGGATGCTCACAGCAACTTTCCCATGGGAAGACAACTGGGAAGTGCTATGCAATGGTAAGAAATGGGTGTTTAGTTGGGGAGACCAAAGGAGTGAAGCCAGTGCTGGTACCCTCATGGAGCTGTGCTGGTACCTGGCGAGGGGCTCTTGCTTTTGCTTTTGCTCTCATGTTCATGTTGTCTTTCCAAAGCTTACCCAGTTGGCAGTGTTAAGGCACTGGATGTTTTAAATTTGCATATTGAGTGGCAGGGCACATCCACCCTGCAGCCCTTCTTGAGCTGCCAGACATGCTTTGGTGAGAGCTGGCGTGGGGACACTTCCTTCCTTGCTCTGGGTAAATGCTGGTTCCTCTCTGTGCTGTCTTACCTGTTTTCCTTTTATAGAAGAAGAGGAAAAGGCCAAAATGGAAAAGGTAACAGAAAAAGCTCAAGATCCCAGTTGCCAGTTCACCAGTCACTGCCTCTTACAGAGTCAGCTGTTTGCTTAGCTCTGTTTCACTCTCCCTAATTAGGCAAATATAAAAGCAGCATCAGGAGCTCTTTGATAAGTTATAACCACAGCTGTTTATTTATTCTAATAGTTAACTCTTGCTTGGCCAACATCTTTTGCTTGGTGCTTATTCTTTTGCTTTGAGGGAATAAGGAAGAAAAGATCCACAAATGTCATCCCTTTGCACGAGGCCACCTGCTATGATGACACATGCAGGTCTGGCTGTCCCCACTCCCGCCATCCAGCTGGGTCTCCATCCACCTTGCACCTCAGCCTTTCCAAACCTGTGGTAGGTGCAGAACCAGGCAGCTCACAAAGGGAAGGGAGAGGCCATTTGGGAAGAACAGGAAACCAGATTGTAATATTCAGGTTTTGACAAAGGACAGAATGAGGTCTGTAGCCAAACAAGCTGTCCAGTTGTGGTGTTTCAAGTTGCAAAGGGTCCCACATTACCCTCCTGCTGCCCACTTCAGCTGCTGCAGACAGATGGGACACTAAAACCCAGGGAACTCATGTCTCTACTGTTGGAAGAACCCATGCATTTCATGTAGCCCTGAGCAGAACATCACCCATCACCTGCAGCAGCTGCCAGGAGCTCCATGGTGACACAAGCTCCTGACCAAAAATATGTGGCAACAAGGCTTTGGTCTTCCCTCTTTTTTGGCATCCTCCACCTAACTCAGCACCAGAGCCAAGGAGAAAGAAGGCCATGTCTGGTCTGCATGGTAGAAAATCTGGGTAAGTGATGACCCTGCTCCTGGAAACAGCTGCTGTCTTTGCTAAGCATTAGCAGAGGCAAATCTTCAACTACCACAGTGTCAAATGGATGTGACACTGTTGTCTTT